CCTCCCTCCCTCCCTCCCTCCCTCCCTCCCTCCCTCCCTCCCTCCCTCCCTCCCTCCCTCCCTCCCTCCCTCCCTCCGAGATTGCGTCGAGATCGCACCCGAGATTGGTCGAGCTCATCCGGCGCTCCTGTGCCCCTGTGTGTCCGGGCGTGGAGAGATGCGAGGGTAGCCTGGCCCTTGCCCCACACACTTTGTGTGTGGAGACGTGTACCTTGCCTTACCTCACCTCACCTCACCACACCTCACCTTACCTTACCTCACACCTAGGTGCTCATCGCGGCAGACTACCTCGCACCCGGCATGGCGCTCGCCCGCATGGCGGCGAACGGCGTGGACGCGCCCGTCGGCCAAGGCGAGAAGAAGCAGCGTCGCCCCGCCATCTCGGGGCATCTCGGGGCATCTCGGGGCATCTCGGGGCATCTCGGCTGATCTCGGCGGATCTCAGCTGCTCTCGGCGTTTCGTAGGCGAGAAGAAGCGCGGCTCGCGCTGCTTCGCCGTGTTCGGGTGCACCCCCCTCGGGCTGATGGCGGTCGGCGCGCTGCGGCTACTCGCGGGCGACGCTGCGGTCATCTTGGCGGTGGACCGGTCAGCGACACGGCGCGCGCTCCTCGCGCCGTTTCTGCGAGACTGGCTCTCCGCCGGGGCAGAGTGGGGGACGGCCTTGAGAGTGGCGACTTGCTCATCGATAGGCGCGGGCTCTTAATTCACCCTTAGTTAGCCCCTAATTAGCCCCTGATTAACCCCTAATTAACTCTGAATTCATCGGTAGGCGCGAGCTCGCCCTCCGGTACGAGGCGAGCGAACACACACACGCACACGCACACACTCACACACGCTCACGCCCACGCGCACCGGGCCTTGCACTTTCGATGCCGTGGGGCTCCTAGACGTGGAGTCGCGAGGGACTAGCCCCTTGCCCCCACCACCTCGTGTGTGTGGAGAGGTGTACCTCACCTTAGCCTTAGGCGAGACACGCCTGCCCCCGGGCCATACGAACGGATGACTGTCATGACGGACAACAACGAACAGCGACGCGCGGGGATGCTCTCTCCTAGGCGACACAGGCCCTCGCCCCAGACCGTGCGGCGGAGGCGCTGCGCAGGCCGGCCCTCTCCCCGCGGCTTGCGATAAGCTGTTGACTGTGTCGGTGAGAGAAGACTGTCAGCAGGCTCGACTCTGGCCGCGGCTTCGACGGGGTCGTCGAGGCAGCGGCGCCGCCGAGGGGGCTCACAGTGAATGGTTCTTGAGGAGTCGTGCATTCAAACTCAGGCGAGCGGCACCGCCGAGGGGCTCGGAATGGACAAGAAGTTCATTTCAACTTCATCAGTGGTTACTTCTTACACTCAGGCGAGCGGCACCGCCGAGGGGCTCGCGGCGTCCTTTGCGCTGCTCGCCGCGGGCGCGGGACTCCGGGCCCCTCTCTCAATCGCTAGATGATGCGTCGGGACCACCCCCTCCCTCCCCCTCCATGGAGGACTCCTAATCAGCCCTTAATTAGCCCTTGATTAGCCCTCAATTAGCCCTCAATTAGCCCTTAATTATCCCTTAATTAATCCGTTCGAGGAGGAGACTTACGGTGCCCCGTCCTTGCCTCGCCCCCCCCCCCCCCCCCAGGGGGGACTCTCGCCTCGCTCTCCGCCCACCCCACGGAGCTGGTCCCGCTGCCGATGCGAGGCTTGCTGCACCTCTATATTGAATTAAACACGAATGCATTCTTGACTCATCTCCAGGTCCCCGCTGCCGATGCGGGCCTGCTGCAGCAAGACTAACAGCAGATGACTGATCAATTGTATGAGTACTAATTAGGTCCCGCTACCGATGCGGGCTTGCTGCGAGAAGAGCGCGCGCCTGTCCTTTGGCACGCGGCGGGCGGCGGCACGGCAGCTCTTCCCCCGCCGCCCTCACGTGTGCCGCTGCTCGCCAACAGCTGAGGCACGGTCGCGTGACTGTCCTCTGCCACACAGGCGTCTCTTCCCCACCGCCCTCAAGCTGCTGCGCGCCAAGCGCTTCCCCGTCCGCGAGGTGGTCACCCACCGCTACTCCATCGACGAGGCGCAGGCGCGAGCTCTTGATTGACCCTTCATTCCCGCTTAATTAACGCTTAGTTAACCATCAATTCACCGCTACTCCATCGACGAGGCGCAGGAGGCGTACGAGGCGGCGGCCGACGAGGCGGGCGACGCCTCCGCCGTCTTCCTCTACCCGTCTGGCCAGGCGCGCGAGCGGGGCTCCTCTCGGCTCCTCTCGGGTGGGAATCTCTCGGCTCCTCTCGGGCGGGAATCTCTCGGGTCATCTCTCGGTGAGAGTCTCGGCTCCTCTCCTCTTCCCGTCTTGCCAGGCGCGCGAGGGGGCTGCGCGTGCCCTCTACTCGTCGCTCGACTGAGAGCAGTCTACAGTCTACAGTCTCGACTATTGCCTCTCCACGCGTCGTTGGAGAGACGGTGTGGGCGAGGCGGGCCGCGGCCGGCAGGGAAGGAGGAGGAAGGGGGGGGGGGGGGGGGGGCCCTCCCCGCCCACCTTGCCGGTTCGAGACGGCCACCTTTTCCCCCATGCCGGTTCGAGACGGCCCCCTGCACAACTAGCCTTTTTGCAGCCGAGGGGGGGGCACAGGCCCTCAGGAGGTGCCCCCCAACCCCCGGGGGAAAGGGGGGGGGGGGGGGGGCCCCCCCTCCC